AGACGTACCTGGAATCCTTGCTGCTAAACAAAAATATTTTTGAACAGGATAAAATTTTAGGCCTAAGTCCACTTAAGAAAAACTATTGTCCCTAATGGAGTCGCTAGTCTATCGCGACCGACCTCTGGTTTTATTTTAAAAAACGAGGGTCTCGCCTGGTACGTGCTACGTCTAAGTTCGGGACTTAACTCAGGCTCTCCTAAGCCCATACCATATCGCGACTTAGGGTTTAGGTTTTTAACCTGCAAGTGGTTTTTATCTAGGAGTTGCCACTAATCAATTTGGGGTGGGTCGATTAGAAACCCAAGTAAGGTGATGGGAGAATCAACCTACTCCTACAAATTAGAGATTAAATGAGTTTGGGGACTTGGCTACATTAGTTGGGTAACTAATGCCCTTTCGGTACCTTTTTACCCTGTTCATTTCAGAAAATATTTGTCAGGCAATTTGGATTGATTTTAGGACCTTTCTCCTAACATGTGTGGTGATCAAACGAGTGCACAATCATTAGTGATTAGCATTCAAGATAGATATACAGTCTAGGGTTCTAATCCTAACTAGGGCGACAACATTCATAACATGATAATTGATGCAATTATGTTCTAATTAAAAATGCAAAATGCATAATAATAATACAACAAAGGTGAATATAACATACAAAGTCCTACTACATAGTCTTATAGGCCTATCCGATTTAAAACATGATTGATAATCAGATGATCCACATAATTTAGAAAATATTCAGGAAATACTAATTTCTAAACTATTTTTTTTAAAGAAATAAAAAAATGATTTTTTATATTTTTTTAAAATAATAATAAAAATCACGATTACAATTTTTTTAAATAAAAATTAAGAAAATAAAATATTAATATAATAATCAAACCGAGTCGGGTTGGCGGGATCCGAGTCGGTCGGAACCGACCCGAGTCAACGGATCCGACCCAAGTCGTTGACCCGGGTCAAATCTCCGGATCCGAACCGGGTCAGGGTCAACCTGGGTTGTTGACCCAGGTCCTGGACCGGATCGGACTCCTCGCCCGACCCGAATCCGTCCCGAATCTGCCCCCTCACAACCCACCCCAATTTGCTCTGTTTTCCCCTGCATCGCGGGGACTTCGCCGGAGGTGGCTGAGACACCGCTCGTTTCGGCTCGGCAATGCCCACTCCAGCGTTCTCCCAGGCAGCCCAGACCAAGACTTGACCTCACCTGAGTCGCCATTCAATCACCTGGTCGCCGGCTGGCAATCAAAACTAAATCGGCTTCATTGAGGCATTTCAACAAACACCTAGGGTGCGCGACCGAAACAAGGAAATTTTGACCTCTTTCGGGACTCCGGCCGGCTTCGACGACCACGGCTTGCTCCCGACGGCGAGTATGAACTGGGATGAGGATCGGTATGGACCGGGATTTGCGCCTAACGGCCGGTGTAAGTCCCGGCCACTCAATTCACAAAAACAGGGGAGAAACAAGGGAAAACAAGGGCCGGGTGGACTTACCGATCGAGGACGTCGGCTCGGTGGATCGCCGGCAGCTCTGGCTCATCGGGGGAACTCCTGGGGCTGTGTTCTTCCACATGCAAGCCAAAGATCGAAATTTTTTTACCCAATCCCTCTCTTTCTCTCTCGGTCTCTCTCTGTGCCCTATTTTTGGTTGCCAAAATACCCTGTGTGAACCCCCGCCCTTCTCTCTCTCTTCTCCGCCGCTTATATAGCGACCGCCGGTCGCTGCTCCTGCCCAGAAGTCGTCATCTTAATGGTACTGCACTGGCCAACCTGTTCTGCGACTTTGGTGGCCGCGAAAAGTCCACAATCTCCAGGCGGCCGATCGGGGTAGAGGCGAATGCAGAGGAGAGAGGAGAGGGGGACAGATAGACAGCCGGCGGGGAAGAAGAAAGGAGTTTGGGCCGGCTGTGCCCAAGATGCGGGGAGAGGAAAAAAGAAAAAGGGAAAAAAAAGTGGAGCGGGCCGGGCCCGCGGGGAAAAAAAGAGAGAGGGCTGGGTTGACCCGGCCCCGACCCGGCCCATTTCGATTTTAAAAAAAATTAATTTTTTTTAAAATTTTTTTAATTAAAAGAGGAAAAATATATTCTAATAGTGCAAAATGCACATATGTCTATATGCAATGCAATTGAAACTAAATGATTTTTTGGTTTAAGAATTAAAGACATTAACCCCTAAAATTTGTGTAATTAATTTTGGGCAATTAAAAATAGGTGTCAACATTTCTTCTCTTTATAAACGTGTACAATTTATAAATGTATAGAAATGAAAATCATTCACAAACGTTGAGCCTTAGCATATGGCGATCAAGTTTTGATCATAAAGGAAATAGTTCATAATGGTGTCACGACAGTGGTTGCAGATCCTCTAACTAAAGGCCTTCGCCCTTGTGTGTTTGAGCGACATGTAATTAACATGGGTTTAGGAGCATCATGGGATGCTGTTGTTTAGTGGGAGCTATTTTATTTTTGCTCTAATAAAGTTTACATATGTGTTTTTTGTTACATTTAGTGACATTTTAATATGTATCAACTCATTTATATTCAATAGGGTGTTTATGAATGAATTGTTATTATGTTGAATATATATATATATATATCCGGTGAAAATCTCAGGGTATTATGTAAACCTTGAGTAAAGGCTAGGCTAGGTGCATCCAGTTATTAGCCTTAAGAATATACCTTATTACACATAAAGTAAAGTTAACAATAATGATAAGACATATGTAGGTTCGTGGGAACCATAAGGATATTCTCTAGTGACACATTAGGTTTTGTGATACTTAAGAAAAGAGAATACGGACTGACAAAGAGGATGATATATAAGGTATTACTCTTTTTGAGGTGTTATCCAATTGTCACACTACCATGTTGAATCCATATTAGTAAAGTTAAAAGCATTTGTGACCATGAAATGCTCTATGGGTATACATGCAGTTACCGCCATGATTCGGTATTTGAGACTTTATGGGATCGGATTGACTATTAAGAATTATCTCTAGACCAACATTAAGGTGCGCACATACAGTACAATTTCAATTAATACAGCCCGAGTGGGAGAATGTAAGAGTTTTTATGATGTGGGCTGCATTAATTGATATTGTAATTTACCTTTTTACGGGGTTGGTCTAATAAAGTAAGATATAAAGATTCTTAGATAGTCTAATATGGGACTGGTTAGTGTGCGCTGAGTAAGGCCCGGCCTGTGATGAGACGACTTGGTTTAAAACTCTATAAATAGAGCTCGAATCCCTCTTCTAACCCGGATACACAAATGATCTTATATAAGCAGCAAATGCTAACTATTAGAGGCATTCTCATTGAGCCAGTGATACAAATGGTAATAGAGGAGAAGATTTGCGCTAATGATCGTCGCTATTCCTCATCAAGTATGATGGATTCCAAATTAAGTGCGCAAATCTCTTTTACTCGATTAATGTGTTCTATATTCTAGTTATGGAGATCTTAGATGTCATTTTATCGAGACCAATAGGATCTTGCATCTCAAATTAGTTTGATTCGTGTCAACAACCAGGTTTTAATAAAGAAAAAAAATTGACTGTGGTTTTCCATCTTGTTGGCGCATAGACTTCGTGTGGTTGAATGGTTCATGCAAATAATGAAGGAGTCTAGCTTTAAAGGAATATCCCAAGCTTTGCCAACTTATTGCTTTACATCAACGAGGGAGAAACTATTCCACTAATTATTGGGTTGGTAAGTTGCGCGATCAGAAGATTTCAAATATGTTGTCCCATCTAGAACAAATGCTTAAAGCAACGATGCTCAGAACAAATACTTACCAACTTCGTTGACACTTTCTAACTCTTATATGAAATGGTCTTTCAGTTGAGAGAATTAATAAATTTAGTGCTGCGGGCCTTGAGATTTTTTTAATTTATTTTTTTGCTTATTACTTAAAACGGCATGTCAAATGAAATGTTTAAAATTTAATTTTTAGTGGCCTTACACTTATAATAATTTTATGCATGAAACTCGGGGACATGTCACTTGTTATGACCTATACGAACTAAAATATTATTTGGGAATTTTTTTTTATTATTAGTTTATTTCAGTATAAAGGGTTTGAGAGATCGAACTCTATAAATAGGGTGATAATCACGAGTAGGTAAAAGCACTGTAGTGAAGCCAACTTACGGAAAAAAATGAAGATTGAAATAGAGAGCAAGAAGTTGATCGAACCCTCAGCTCCATCAGCTGATCACCTTCGCAAGCTAAAAATCTCTCTTATTGATCAGCTTCAGCCTCCAGTTTATATTGGTGTCATTTTCTTCTATTCCTCCAAAAACCATGTACACGATCCTTCATTCGTACCTATTAGCGAAAGATTTCAGCTGCTAGAGATAGCACTCGCGGAAACCCTAACCCTCTTTTACCCTCTTGCGGTCGATACGTCGAAGAGAAGTGCTTGGTTGAATGTAGAGACCAAGGGGTGGAGTTCATGAAAGCCAAAGCTGATGGCATTCTTGACCAATTTCTCCATGGAGAAACTGACCCCGAGGATGTCCTCAATCATTTGGCAACTCAACCTCATCCATTGGACGAGATTATGCCACCTCTGTTGGTTGTCCAAATGAGCACGTTCGCTTGTGGCGGCATCGCGGTCGGCCTACGCTTCGCACACAGGATTGCCGACATGCACACTATGTCGTCCTTCCTGAGCACATGGGTGATGGCATATCGTGGAAGCATTCACAAGGTGATCCACCCATGCTTCGATCTCTAATCTATTTTACTGCCAAGAGACTTGCCCAAGGCCGAGCCTCCCATCAGACTAATGCCAGGTGCGAAATACGTCATGAAAAGATTCGTGTTCGACAGCCAATCCATCTCGTAACTCAAAGCCGTCGCGAAGAGGAAAGGGTTCGATTCCAAAGGGAACCCTCACGTGTGGAACTAGTCACGCCGCTCGTGTCAATTGCTCTCTAGGACATTACCAAGCTAAAAAACGCGCAATCCAAGCCATTTCTAATTACACACATGGTGAACTTGCGTGGAAGGACAGATCTTCTACCACGCGAGAATTCGTGCGGCAATCTCTACACGGTGGTGCACTGGAAGTCTGCGGTCGAGGTGAACGAGCCCGGGTTACATGGCTTGGTGGGTTCAACGCGAGATGCAATAACAACCTCAGTTGCTAAGTTAGTGAATGCGATAGACGAGGAGCATTTGGGCGAGATGAAGTCGATGGGACAGTTTCAGGAAGAACTGCGAAAAAGCGACACCAACGTGCTTGCGTTCACCAGCTGGTGTCGGTTTCCGCTGCACCGGGTTGATTTGGGTTGGGGTGAGCCTGAGTTTGTGAGCAGCTTATGCTCTCCATTTGACTCGGTAATTTTGATGGATCACAAGAAAGGTGATGATGATGGTGGAATTGTGGCACGGGTGAGCTTGACTGAAGACAAGATGGGTCTTTTCCGTAAACAACATGACATTTTAGAATATGCTTCCAATAAGTAGAAAGCTTCAATACGAATTGATTGAATATTTCGCCAAGGCAGTGAAATGCACGATCCTATCATATAATTGTCCGCATATGATCAGTGGAATTTATAATTTATACATGCATATCGTATAGTCAAATGTAATGTGAAGGGTAAATGGACAATCTTCTATTTGATTGATTTGGATTGGCGCAAATTACTTGCGCATGATCATACCAATTTCTTGCACATCATACTTTTGGACCATGTCAGCACGTATGTCGGTTTCAGTTTACCGAGGGACTTTGATTGGAAATTTTTTTGCAAATTCAAGTATTCGATTGCAAAAATTTGTATTAGGAGGACCACATCGAAAAATGCAGTACTGACTAGAAGTCTGTCTCGATAATTGATCTTGACGTGCCAAACAAAACGAGGGGAGTCCAAGATGACTCATTGACGGCTCGGTTTGAACGCCTCACTCGGAAAGGAGTAGGTAAAGCATTAGTATTCTCTACGATTGGTAAGTACTTTGTATGTTAATTTCAAGTAATCTACCTGCTCAATTTGTATTTTAATACCCTGCGGTTAGTGAACCATCGCCAAGTTAGTTCAAGAATGGTTCAATGACTGTTGACACCTATATTTTAATTGCCCAAAATTAAGTACACAAATTTTAGGGGTTAATGTCCTTAATTCCTAAACCAAAAAAATTATTTAGTTTCAATTGTATTGCATATAGACATAGGTGCAATTTGCAATATTAGAATATTTTTAACCTCTTTTAATTAATTTTTTTAAAAAAATTAAAAATTAACAAAAATTCAGAATGGGCCGGGTCGGGATCGGGTCGACCTGGCCCTCTCCTTCCTTTCCCCTCCCTGCGGGCCTAGCCCCCTTCTTCTTTTCTTCCTTTCGCGTGGGACTAGGCCCGGCCCAGTCCACTCTCCCTTCCTCTCCGACTCGCCTGTCCCTCTCTCCTTTCCCCTCTGTTCTCCTCTGCTCTGACCAGCCACCTGGGGGAGGTGGACTTTCCACCCCACTGCCCAGCCGCAGCCACCAAAGTCGCGGAGCAGCTAGGCCGGCGCAGGGGCCATTAATGACGATAACTTTGGGGCGGGGCAGGTGGCCGGCGGCCCCTATAAAGGCCGTTGAAGAGAGAGGAGAAAGGGGGTTCGATTCAGGTGAAAAACAGAGACTAGAGGAGGAGTCAGGTGAGTTTTTGGGGACGAGCCGAGAGAGAGATAGAGAGCTTCTGGGGGCCACCGCGTCTCAGCCACCAATCCTCGCCACCGAGCCCGGGGCGGTGACACACAGAGAGAGGGCGGAGGCGGCCACAGTAAGAAAAAGTCCAAAAACAGAGCATAGGGATTGAGAGAGTACCGAGAGCAAAAAAAATGCAAGTGAGTGACTTGCAGGGACTGAAGAAGAAGCAGCCCGTCTCGCCGGTGCCTCCAGACCAGCCAAAGACCCCCCAGACACACCGCCGACCGGTGAGCAGTCCCAGCCCTATTTCTAGCCTGTTTTTGTGCACCGGTCAGCCGGGGTTCGTGCTGGTCATTTCGTGCGAATCCCGACCCATACCGACGTCATTCCTGGTCCATACGTCACCAGTAGAGTTGAGTCTTGGTCGGCAGGGATCGCCGGGGCCCTGAAACTAGTAAAAAACTCCCGGTTTAGTCTATGCACGTTGAGTGTTTGTCGAAATGCCTCAGTGAGGCCGAACTACCGGCGATCGGCTCATCGAACGGCGAGCTGGAAGGCCGACGGAGCTTTGTGGGAGTCCTGTGAGGCGAAAACCAGGCCGGAATTGGCTTGGGTCGGCCGGCAAGATGCTGGATCTCACTTGGCCGATGCCCCTGCATGTTTGTACACACATAGACCAACCCGACCCGGGTCAACGACTCGGGTTGACCATTTGACCCGGTTCAGATCCGGAGATCCGACCCGGGTCAACGCGATGGGTCGGGTTCGTTTACCCAGGTCCGTCCTGACCGACCTGGATCCGCGACCCGACCCGATTTTTATATTATATTATTATTTTATTTTTAAAAAAATTAATTAAAAAATTAATTTATTTTATTTTATTTTTAAAATTAGGATATAATTCAGATATAAGTATTGTCTAATATTTTTCTAAATTATGTGACATATCTGAATTTTTTAAATTGTTGTTGTATTATTATTATACATGTTTTTTTAAATATAATTACATAAATTGTCATGTTTAAATCAAATAAACCTATAGGGCTATATGGTAGTATTTTGCATGTTATTTTTACTACTGTTGTGTTATTATTATTCATGTTTTTAATTAGAATATAATTGTATAAATTGTTATGTTTTGAATGTTATCGCGTTAGTTAGGGTTAGAATTCTAGACTACATATCTATCATAATCACTAATGATTGTGTACTCGTTTGATCACCTCATATGTTAGGAGAAAGGTCCTAAAATCAATCTAAATTGCCTGACAAATATTTTCTGAAATGAACGGGGTAAAAAGGTACCGAAAGGGCATTAGTTATTTAACTAGTGTAATCAAGTCCCTGAACTCATTTAATCCCTGGTTCGCAAAAGTAAGCAATTCTCCCATTGTCTTGCTTGGGTGTTTAATCGACCCACCATAAACCGATTAGTGGCGACTCCTAGATAAAAATCACTTGCATGTTAAAAACCTAAACCTTAAGTCGCGTTATGGTATGGGCTTGGGAGATCCCGAGTTAAGTCCCGAACTTAGACTTAGCGCGTACCAGGCGAGACCCTCGTTTAAAAAAAAATAAAATAAAATCTAAGGTCGGTCGCAACAGACTGGCGACTCCGTTGGGGAATCCCGTGCATTTTTTTTAAAAAGTGGACTTAGGCCTGAAATTTTGTCCTGTTCAAAAACATTTTTGTTTGGCAACGAGGATTCCAAATACGTCTCTAACATTTGAGGTGTTAAATGTTTTTGCAGTTGGGAGTTATAAGAGGCATAGTTTTTGTTAACCCCTTGTTTTGCAAGTTCGGAGTTTGGGAGTGAGGGTTCATTTCCTAAACATTTGAAGTGATGATTATTTATGAATTGTTGTGCATGCTTTAATGATTTAGTATTACACTATTGCACACACAACCATGCCACCGGACCTGGGCCGTGATAGGGCATTTTAAGATGGTGTTAAGAAAGATACGACCTCGAACGCGAGCCCTCGATGTAGAGGTTGCTTTTCTTTTCCCCGAAATTTCTTTCTAAAAAAAATCGTAAAGTGTCTATCTTTAGCCGCTATTCGCATGACTATAAGATATTCTTTTCGATTTAGCCGATGTTAAAAGGACTTAACACCAACACGAGACTGCGATGGTCAAGCACCCTTTCAGCTTCACTTTGCTGAACTAGTCTAGATAGAAATCGAACCTCACTCCTCATGTGCATGTTTCTGTGATTGCCATGGTTTCCGGTAAAGTAAGTTTTTTATTCCTACACCTTGCAATTTACTTATTTTCGTGTATCCTGGTTGGTCCATGATTAGTCTAGTTTAGTTGTGGATTTTATACCATAGCCATTTCGAAAAAAAATAATCACTAAAACTTTTCAGAATATTTACTTCCAACTCATGCCCTTATTTTTATAAGCATGGTATAAATCATCGTTTTCCCATGCGATTTCTTGTCATTTTAAAAAACAAAGGGAGAAAATGATGTATAAATAAAAAAGGGCGTGCCTCGGTAATACTACCAGTGCCTCGGCCTGGTGGTACCCGGGAGTGAAGGCGGTTCGAAAGACCAGGGTTCGAACCCCGAAGACGGCAACTAGGTTGCCGTTGTTGTAAAAAATATATATATAAATAAAAGAATTTTGCTTCTCTTTTTTTTTTGGCAGAAAAAAGAAACTACTTGATAAGTAGAGTAAAAAATATAGTACTAGATTAAGTCATGGACTGATCCCTTATGTGGTCTTATACTCATTCGTTGCCATTTTTTTTTTAACAGGTAGTTACGAATTATACCAGTTCGCCAGGCAAGAATGGCTGAGGAAGACGTACCGATCCGTCTCACTAACATGGAAAATGAGATGAAGCTGGTCCTCAACGCAATCGAAAATCTCACAAAACAAGTGGAGTCCATTCATGGGAAACTCACTCCCACGCCTGCATCAATTGAGGTGGTGCTACCACATTCGTCCGTAGCTAGCGATCAAGCCACAACCAGTAACAGCAAGATGCCTATGCTAGAAGAGGATCCACTCCCACTTGCGATCGAGGAGGCCAAACTCGTGAGTGCGCCAATGATGGAACATGACAAACGCCTTGTGAAGGTTGAGGAAATGTTGAAGCAGTTATAGGGCTCGCAGCATTCTATCCCACTTGACCTATCTGTGTACAAAAGGGTCAAGGTACCAAAAAAATTCAAAATACCAGAATTCGAAAAATATAATGGCACCTCATGCTCCAGGCACCACTTGCACATGTATCATGTGCGAATGACCCAGTATGTTGATAATGAACCCCTCATGATCCAGACCTTTTGAGCAAGCTTGACAGGGCCGGCTTTGACATGGTATATGTCAAAAGATGTAGATGCCTTCAAATCTTGGGATGATGTTGCGGATGCATTTCTCAAGCAGTACCAATTCAACCTCGACATCACATTTTCTCGTGACGACCTCGAATGCACGGAGAAAAAGAAGAGTGAATCGTTCAAAGAATATGCCATCAGATGGAGGAATTTGGCCGCCCAGGTCACCCTAGAACTTCCTGATCATGAACAAATGAAGTTGTTCATTAAGTCTCTTCCATATGAATACAGACACCGACTGGTTGGTACCACCGCTAAGTCACTTAATTGACTAGTTCTAGTGGGCGAACGCATCGAAATGGGATTGCGCGAAGGGTGGTTTACTGGCCCCACCTTCACAAGGAATAGACTCGGCACGAAAAAGGAGAATGAGCTCCTTGTAAATATGGATTTCACATACACCCAGACTGCTCATCCTCCCCCGATAGTTCAGATGAGCGGTGGGCAGCAGTCGGCTTCAGGCCGCCAGCTGCCCCAAAGGA